TCTAAGGAGACGCAATCGAGATAGTTAACCGTTTGAATAATCGCAGAGAAGACATTTCGGTGGTTGGCATGCTTCTAAATGAGGTTCACGAAGGTTGGCAACACATCCAAATTTCAAGTTTTGCTATAGTCCTCGCAATGCTAACAGAGTGGCACACATGCTAGCTTCTAGGGCTATATCGATGCTAAACCAATTATGGTTCTTTTTCGTTGAACCTGATGTATTAAGAATCTTGTATTTGGATGCTATTGGTATTTGAATGAATGAAATCCATGAATCTTTCAAAAAAAAAAAAAAAAAGGTATCATGAGACTAATAGTGTATCATCTGCATTATATCCAGGGGTGGATAATGTTGATTTCCGAAGTAAATCAATATTTTATTTTATCAAAACTTTTGCTTGTGCTCTGGGTATTCATTAATGGTCCTGATAAATTGACATCCTTTAAAATTTGCATACATAGTAAATTTTAAATTAAATAAAATGTCAAACTCAAAATTTCCAATTTTAAAACATAGAGTAATCGAGTAAGTATCAATTTTTGGATGTTGTGGGTATTAATCATTCCTTACGCGTAACTAACTCCTAAACCTGATTTCTGATTTCACATACCAAAACACTAATATTTTTTTATAAAATAAAATATTTAGGGTTCACCCACAATATCCAGAAGCCTCTTCGGTACCTTTTTCCTCACAAATTTAAAGCACCTTTTATGTTTGTAAGAGCATGGCTCCTGCTTCTTGGGATAGCATTAGTCATAACCTCCAGGTCATTTTCTTCAAACTCACCAGGCTTGTCTTAATATAAACTTCTGGTTTCAAGTGTGTATGGGCATTACCCATAATTGTATGGGCTTCTGTCTTCATTTTGGCAATAGGAAAACAAATAGCTCCTAAAAAGTTATGATTATGATTTGATTTTAATTAATACACTTCACATACATACATTAATATTATATATATAAAGCTGATTACTGCTGGGGAAAAAAACATTTTTTGGGGTCATGTGACAGTCTATATAGGTAGCATATGCTCATGTGATTCTCTAATGTTTTTAGGTTCATGAAAACTTATATTTAAAACTCAGTTTAAACCCCTTTCTTGATTTCACCCCACTTGATTATTTGTCGGATAAAGTCATTGAATTAAATCTGGGATTTCTCACCCTCCATCTTTAATATACAACCACAAAGCATATGAATCCAAATCAAAATACCTGTCCATCCTTAATAAGCAATTAATCTAATTAATTTCAACCTCATCCTTCAAGTTTTGAAACAACTCAAATCTTTTAATACATCTTTATTATAATTCAATGTAAACCTAAATCCATTATATTCCTTTAAAAAAATAATTTTCAGCACCCACTACCAACTAACTCTTTGAAATCCTGGCTAAACACTACCCGATTTTCAAACCCTAATTACACACCATATATGATATGATAGTATACATTTATTTATAAACTTTGATAGGTATATGAACATTTGATTTGATTGACTTAAATCAAACTTAATCATATTTGATTTAATCACAATAAGTTAATAGTTTCAACTCATATAATTTAATCGTAAAATTAACCTAACCTAGAATTGACTCAAATAAATAATTAAAAAATAATTTGATGTTAAATTAGATATAAAATTTTAAAATATAATTAAATTTATAACTTGTAAATTATAATTATAATTTTCTATTTAACCTACAACATTCATTTTCAACTTGAAGGTTTTAAGAGTAGAGCAAGTTGATATTGTTGTATATAAGTCTAGTCAAAATTTTGGTTAAAGGAAGTAAGTATATGGATATTAGGATTTAAGGTTAAAGGTTTAATCAATTTGAATTTGATTATATGCATCGATTCAGTTGGTTATTATTATTATTTTTCAAAAAAATTAAATCTAATCTTACTTAGAAGGGAAAGGAAAGAGAGATTTAAAGGGATGGAATGAGAATAATCTTAATGGGTATAAAGTCTATGACCTAGACGAATATGAGAGAATAAATATGAGTAAACCGAACATATATACTTGCTCTTCAATTTGTTAAACTTAGATTATTTATAATTATTTTCTTTTACTATTATATTATAATGAGATAGTTAATTTACATAAAATATTTAGGGTCAACTACGCCAGTGGTCACTCATGTTTGGAGTAGTTTTCGTTTTCACCACTTATGTTTAAAAATTTACAAATCGATCACTAACGTTATCGTTTGTTACAAAATGGTCACCTGATGTTAACAGTCGTTAATAAGCGTGACGAAAAACATAGCTGGACCGTTATATACTGACATGGATTGTTGACCGCCACAACTAGACCATTTTGACCGACTCTTCTTCTTCTTCAACCCAACCCCATCTTCTTCCTAAACCCCATCTTCTTCCTCAACCCAACCTCGTCTTCTTCCTTAACACCATTTTGCGCACACACCTTGCAAGACACACTCCCTTTTATCCCCCAAAAACAACCATTTCCCTCCCTTGCCTCAACACCACCATCATGATTTCCCTGCTTTGCATAACTTTAGACATTTTACTGTTGGGACCTTGAGATAAAATAACAGTCCCTTTAGACATTCTACTATACGAACTGCCCCCATAAATACGTAGCAGTGTCCAACCAGCACTTTCTACACGTCTTGACGATTTCGATTTCTTCTTCTTGCACTTAAACATTAGCAGAACTGCAACCACATCCAAACAACAGATAACAAAGCCACCAACAATAAAACCCACCAAAATCCAAATGTTTTTCTTATTAGACTTAGCTTGCAAACCTATAGGATTCACCAACTTCATGATCTAAGCCCCATTTAGAATCGCATTAATTTTCGAAGGAGTGCTCAAATCTGAAGGTCCAACACTCACACGAATAACCCAGAAATGCAAACCTAGAATCACCCAGAGGACTAAACATGATTTCAAGAACTTCACCATCAATTCTCAGCAAAAACTCTTTTAGCACAATATTGTAAGCACTAAAACCACGCAGTAACAAGAAGGCATTAGCCAAAACATCGAATTTCGCAGAAGCCAAGTTGAAATTTTGAGCTATAAATGGAGAGAAATGGGGGCGTACCAAGTGAGTCCCATTCCCGTTCTGCTTGATGTCGAACTCGTAGCTCGACTCGGAGGTGAAACCCGGGCCGTGCGATATAAAATGGGTGAACTCGAAGATGGGTTTCTGTCAGTGAGTGAAACGGATCGCTCAGCCGAGAGGGAAACTGAACTGGGTTTCACTGAATCAGATATGAAGACACGATTATAAAGGGAAGCATTGGCATTTGATCCACAGTTGAGGAGGAAGTTATTTTTAGGGACGAAAGATTTAGTTAAGTAAAGGAGTGAAAGGAAAGTTAGAGCTAAAAATTGAAGCCTTTGAGCATCCATGGAAGGTCACAGAAGAAGGGGATAATGCTTTTAAAGAAACTGGGTAATTTAATGGTGATTTGGCCATGTAAGTTGATGGTTTTTCTGGTGATATATGAAAGTATTTATTTTTGCATAACTTCTATTACCTTGTGTCCACTTTGTATAACTTGTATTTTCATACGTTTGACTAATATTCTTTCTTTTTCTTTTTCCTGTTAATCAGATTCTTTTCTTATCAGGAGTAACCTAATCAAGCAGGGAAATCATGGTGGTGGTGGTGAAGCAAGAGAGGGAAAGGGTTATTTTTGGGGGATAAAAGGGAGTGTGTCTGATGGTGTTAAGGAAGAAGATGGGGTTGGGTTGAGGAAGAAGATAGGGTTAGGTTGAAGAAGAAGAAGAGTCGGTCAAAATGGTCTAGCTGTGGCGGTCAACAATCCATGTCAGCATATAACGGTCCAGCTGTGTTTTCCGTCACGCCTATTAACGGCTGTTAACGTCGAGTGACCATTTTGTAACAAACGATAACGTTAGTGATCGATTTGTATCTTTTTAAACATTAGTGGTGAAAAAAAAACTACTCCAAACATGAGTGACCAATGGCGTAGTTTACTCAAATATTTATTTACATGTTAAATCATAAAATAATTCAATTATAATAATTTTAATGATTAAATTATAAATATATCACTAAAAATATAAAAACTTTGAATTTTGTGATATATGATTCAAAGTAATTCATACATTAAATAAATTCTCGAATAATTGATTTTTTTATAACTCGAAATAATACAAACCTAAATATTTATATAAATTTAATTAACCAATATTAAAGATTTAAAATTACATAAAACGGAGAAGGGAGCTGGAGGACAGGGCTCCCGTAATGTACGTGGCAGGGTGTTATTGGTTAGATCTGGAAGTGGGGCAAGAACAGTCAACGAAAAGACCGAGGCGTGCAGTCAAAGCAAACACTGTCACGGTCAAACGCTTTGCTGGCACTTTACCTAAAATAAACACATAACAATACAAAACACTAATAAAAAAGTTGGCAAGTTGGCCATAATGGCCCCCACGAGGCCAAAGTTCTTTAGCTGAAAATACCAAAACTAAGCACTTAGATTTTATGTATTTAAACATTTTTTATTTTGCTTATAATTATTTAAATAAAAACAAATTGTAACGAATAATGTAAATCAGTGTATTATTGGTTAATTTGAACTATAGTTAGTTTAAAAATTCGCTTTTAGATAAAAGAACAAGCATTATATTTCATCCATTTTCCGGTTTTTCAAAAATCTTTTGCAAATATTAGAAATTGGGAAAATTTTCTCAGGGAAATTAACACCTTTATTAACTGTTAAATTAAAAAAGTACTTAAAGGTAAAGCGGGAAGATTACGGCAAAAAAACAGATATGACTGCACGTGTGGTTTGCGGGTCGGGTGGCTTAATTACCGCTAACTTGGTAATTTTTTTTACTATGGTAAAAGATTTAGGGGGGATATCCATTTCCTTCATCCAAAGAAAATGAAAATAATGCATTGATTTTTAAAATAATCCCGTTTATAATTAATTTTAATAAATTTTCTTAATTTTTTAAAATTTAATTTTTTATCAATCAAACTACTGCCCCAAAAGAAGAGCAGTAGGGGAAGCCTTTGCAGGGCATGGCTTTTCTCTGTTATTCTACATCTCTCTTCTTTTTCTCTCTATTTTCTGGTAAGGCATCTTTTGACAATAGCTTCATTTTCTTAATAATCTTCACTGAATAGTGAAATATTTTCGTGTTTTTCTATCTGAGTGTTTTTTCTTTTCATTTTCCCTAAATTTCTGTACCATATTTGGTTGGGTTTAGGGGAAAAGAGGCTATTTGATTAGCTTTTTTACTATTTTTAACTGTTGATCTTTGACTGCTTTCTTAAGTAGTATCTTTCTTTTCTTGCCTTACTTATTTTTGCTGTTTTGGGGACTTGATGATTTCCAGCAAACCTTTTTTTTCTCTTTCCTGAAGCTTGTAGAATAAGTGGAAGATGGGAGCTTGGTTGTTGTGTGTTTATTAGTGATATTATTGTCATTATGATGAGTGTAAAATGAGGAACTTTTGACCATAGAAAAGAGATCAGGATAAAGCAAAGGGAAAGGGGCATACGTATGTGTGAGCTTGTAGGGGGTGAAGAATAAAAAAAAGAGGTTTTTTTTTTTTTGCTTTATGATTTGTCAATGAGAGAAGAGTTGAGTGGAAAGACACCAAGTTTCGCTCCTTTTTCGTAATGTAGGTTGAAGGCTGCTTGCAAGCGAAGTGAATTTAGAGCTTCTTTTGGGGTAGTGGTGGAGGGGTTTTAAAAAAATCTTTCTTTTTTGGTCCCTTGAGAATCAGTGTTGCTTTAGTGTTTTTAATATTTTGAAGAAAAAAAGGGTGGGTTTCAAAGATGCCTATGTTTCAACCCTCAAAGAGGGACGGGGTTGTTGTTGCTGGATTTGATGGTAGTGGTGATGGGCAAGTTCTAGATCTGGACACTGCTGTTAAAGATGGGGTTTTGGGTGGTGGTGTTGGCGGTGGAGTCATTGGTGCTGCCGTTGGTGAGAAATTGGATCTGAAGAAAATGATTGAGGAGCTTGATTTACCTGAGATACCTTCTGTGTTTATTTGTCCAATCTCTCTTGAGCCAATGCAAGACCCTGTTACTCTTTGCACTGGCCAAACCTATGAGAGGTCCAACATTCTCAAATGGTTCAATTTGGGGCATTATACTTGCCCCACTACAATGCAAGAACTTTGGGATGATTCTATAACTCCAAATAGAACCCTTTACCATTTGATTTGCACTTGGTTTTCGCAGAAGTACTCGCGTATGAAGAAGAAATCCGAGGATGTACAAGAAAGAGTATGTGAGCTTCTTCAGACATTGAAGAAGGCTAAGGGTCAAGCCAGGATTCAAGCCTTGAAGGAGTTGAAGCAAGTTGTGGCAGTGCATGCTACTGCAATCAAGACGGTGGTTGATGAAGGTGGAGTTGCTCTAATTTCATCATTGTTAGGTCCATTTACGTCCCATGCTGTTGGTTCCGAAGCAATTGCCATTCTTGTCAATTTGGAGCTTGATTCAGAGTCCAAAACCAATTTGATGCAGCCAACAAAGATTTCATTGATGGTAGATATGCTGAATGAAGGGTCAGTGGAGACTAAGATCAATTGTACTCGATTAATAGAGAAGCTAATGGAGGAGAAGGAATTTCGCTCGGAGAGCATATCCAGCCATCGGCTATTGGTCGGTCTAATGCGCTTAGTGAAGGATAAGAAGCACTCGAATGGAATCTTGCCCGGACTTAGCTTGCTCAGATCTATATGCTTACATAAACAAGTCATGAGTTTGATTGTGAGTATTGGAGCCGTTCCTCAATTGGTTGAATTGTTGCCTACTTTGGAGCCTGATTGCTTGGAATTAGCCCTTTTCATATTGGACGCATTATCTTCTCTTCCGGAAGGCAAAGAGGCATTGAAGGATTGCGGGAACTCAATTCCGAACATGGTGAGACTTTTGATGAGGGTTTCAGAAAGCTGTACTCAATACGCATTGTCAATTCTGTGGTCTGTATGTAAACTTGCCCCTGAGGAATGCTCCTCAGTTGCAGTAGAAGCCGGTTTAGCAGCAAAGCTGCTTCTAATGATTCAGAGCGGTTGCAATCCCGTCCTGAAGCAAAAGTCTTCGGAGCTCTTGAAGCTATGTAGTCTAAATTATACAGACACCATCTTTATTTCAAAGTGCAAGCTCACAAGGACAATCCAATGACAAGTTAAAAGGTCCTGCCATAATTGGTTCTTGAAACCTTCCAAGAATGAACAATGATTCATATAAGGGCTTTGAGGTATGAATTAGCTCTGGTGTACATATTTTAAGCACTTCAATTCGAGCAATTTGATTCAAAGTTTACTTAAAAGAACACTCATAATGTGGACAAGGAAAAGAAAGCACATTCATGCTGATTATATCGCTCTCTTTTCCGATGCCTTGAAATGAACCCCAAAAGGATAAATGATGTTGAAAAAAAGTTTCATATGGAATGGATTATAGTTGGTGGGGTATGTTGTAGGATGGAATTGTTCTGTTTGTGCTAGACTTTGGAGCTTGCAATCAAAATTGTAATGGACAAAGAATTGCTTTTGCTCCTTTGTGTGGGGAGAAATTAAAAGCTAAAGATAGGGGAAAATGTATTGTGTTTAAATGCGAAACTTCTTATGTTAATTTTGATTAATATGAGGTGATCATAAGATAATATTTGTTTAATTTTTTTAATTAATTGATAATGAATACATACTTTACACAGTTATTTGATTTATAAATGGAACAAGCTCTCTTTTTACAACTAAGGTTGCATAATCGAAAAAGCTACTTATGTTAAGGTCGTGGTTAGGGATGGCAACGGGCCGGGTTCGGGCCGGGTATTAGTCTCCCGTCTCTGTCCTCGTTTAAAAAACCGGTACCCGTCCCCGTTTAAAAAACTGCGGGGATTTAAACGGGGATCCCCGTCGGGTAATCGGGGAAAACCGCGGGGAAACGGGTATCCCCGTTTAGCATAAACAGTTATTTAAACGGGTATTGGGTCGGGTATTGGGTCGGTATTGGGCCGGGAATCGGGCCGGGTATATATATATATATATTTAAATTAAATATATATATTTTATTTAAATTAAATTTATTAATATTATATATATATATATATATATAATTATTTTTAATATTTATCGGGTCGAGTATCGGGGCGGGTAATCGGGTAATCGGGGCAGGGATTATCAAACCCGTTCCCGTCCCGTCCCCGTTTATCATCCCCGATCCCGACCCGTTTAATTCGATTTTTGATTTTTCCCGTCGGTTCGAGTTTTTTTGACATCCCTAATCATGGTAAGTCGGACGTTAGAAAAAAAGGAAAGGTAAAAGAGAGGGTGTTATGCGTTGAACTGTTACTATTCGGGGCGGATCGCTGTCATAGTGGAACGCCTGGGTCCATTTTCATGTAGTCTACATCTCCCTTTGTGGGGGAAATTGAGGACAACACCCATTGTTACCTCTCTTTCAATCACTGTTGTAATGAAATGTTTTCCTGCTCCAATTGTTATTAAATCTCCTATTTGGAATCAGTAAAAAAAAAAGTGAAATTTCTATGTCAATTACAGTGTTCCCCCCCCCCCCCCCCTCAAGTCTTTACAATGCATTTATCTGTTCACAGTTTTGAGAAAAAGAAAAGCCATTTTCCCATCATTTCTCCAAGGGTTTTCTCTATCTGGGTTTGATTCTAACGTGAAAGCAAGGGAAAGGTTTCTCATTTACCTTATCCATCTTTCCTTCAAAAGGAACCTCTGCAAATTAAGGGCCCCATTGGCTATGGCATCTTTGAATAACTTCCGATGTTCAAATCAGTGTCTAAGAGCTAACAATGTTCATCCATCTGTTATGTTATCAAGTTGAGCCTACTGGTGAGCCAATCAACATTTGGAGCTTTTCCCTTTGTCTGTTTGCACGTAGTTATAATATTTTTATCTAACAGTAACAGCGGGCTAATTTAGCCGTCAAATGTGTGGCCTGTGGGGCTCTTGGTAGCACCATTATTAGAAGATGCATTCATTCCAGATAGCGAACAATCATGCATTTTGAAATTACCAAACGATTACGATTGATAATGATTAAGAAATGTGATATTGTCAAACACATAATTTGCCATTGATTACTTACCCTGGTTTTGATTGATAACAAGGTTTTGCATCAGTTTGAATGAGACTTGGGTAGTGAAAAGCTGGAAAAGCATCAGAGTCGCCACCATGCATGCATTGGTGGACATTCATTGTTAAATTTCAGGTTAGTCATCTGAACTTATAAGATCTAAGTGGCCCAGTGTCAAGGATTATGATTTTACTTTGAAGCTATGCTTGTAGAGCAGTTTGACTTGGTCAAAAAGTTGAGGCACCGCCCATGGTACCGCACTGCAAGGCCGCCTTCAATAAGCATTTAAATTCGTTGCGAGAAAAAATGCTATTCATCCATCCATTCATCCACACCTTGTGTTGGCCGGCTATCTTATATTTAAGCGTGAGCAAGGATTATAGACGATTCATTTCAACAAACACGTACATCATACAACAGCTGCTCTTCACTGCATATCAAGAAGCAAAAGAAAACTTTTTATCCCATTTGAATTGTTTTCTGTCTGATTCCCAACTTTTCCTCTTAACGGGGATAAACAATCAAACTCAAATATATATTTTTCAGTACACTTATCGATATCTAATTCATTAATTGATTAATTTAGTTTATACATTACAAAAGATTACTATAATCAAAGATTTAAATTGCAGTTACGGTCGCATTTTCGATTGCATTGCGTTTATCGCGGTTGCAGAGATAGTGAGCCCTATTAAATATTGCAAGTATCACGGTCATACAATAACTATAACAGACGACACCTCTACCACTATATAACAAGCGCTATTATGTGTGGTTTTCCGCTATTTAAGTCTCTAATCATAATAACCCTTTTAACACAACTTATTTTATTCGTAACGTCATCTTATTATATTCACATTATCAAATTCTATTCATAATTTCAAAGATACAAATTAAATTATGAATAAAAATATATAAATTATTTAAATTAAAAAAATTAAAAATATGTTTCTCTTCTAATATCTTTTCGCATGGACAAAAACAGAATTTTATATTAGAGGAAGCGGATTTATAAAATTTTAAGAATAAGATTAATTTTAAAATATTATGAGGACAAAAACAAGTTTTAATAGAAAATATCTAAAATATATACAAATCTTAAAATTTTAGCCCCACCTTTTTCCTTCAACCCATCCCTATTTTCCCATTCTATCTTTGATCGTTAGAATAAAATTCTATATATAAAATGATTACATTAAAAATATTTAAATCGATTAATTGTATATTTATCTCAAAATAAACTAAATCATTTAAAATCATTAAATATAATCAGAGGTAAATTAATTAAATATAGGGTATAGTAATGGTCACTGAACTTTTCTAAAGCTTTCATTTAGATCTTCTAACTTTTAAAACTTACAATATAGTCCTCCAACATTTAGTTTATTTGTAATATGGTCCCCTAACATTTATTCTATTTGCAATATGGTCCCCGGTTGTTTGGCGACGTTACACTACCGTTAGTAAATTTGTAATATGGTCACTGAACTTTTCAGGCGCTTGCATTTAGGTCCACCAACTTTTAAAACTTGCAACACAGTCCTAAATTTCATTATAAATCCCAAATTTCTTTTCGATCTCGAATTTCCTTTTTCGCTTCTCTCTTCTCATTTCCAGCGTAACTTTTCAGTCGAGGATGCATGAGAAATTCCAATCTAACTTTGAATTATGTGGAGGTGTTGCCTTGAATAAGGGTTCATTGAGAGAATAACCGACCAAGTGACTATCAGGACCATCAACGATTCAAGGTGTAATGTTAGATACATGTCATCTCAGGTGAAGTATAGATGTTCGATGAAATGCTTGTGAGAAAAAAATGGGGTTAGAAATGAAGAGTTAACAAATACTACTAAGATGAACTAAGTATAGTTGTTGAAAGTCACCAACAAAGCTAGAATTATTTTGTATAAATGACATATAATAATTTCTTCGTTTAATCCTTGTGCTTAAAGATTTTCCAACAGATGATCAAATATAATGAAATCTCAAACAGCGCATTCACCTCTCAGTCTCTTTTGCAACTCGAAAGGCATCATGACAGGGTCAAGTAGTTGGACCAAATATACTACCCTGTCATGATACCTTTCGAGTTGCGTGCATGCATAATTGTATTCTAAAGCTATAATTCAATACAATTCAACTATAAAATTTTCAAAACATGTAAAAAAATTAATTCGTTTATAATATATCGGATTGAGCCTGACGATTTCACTATGTCGATACTCGAAACCAATTCCCTAATTTAAAGAAAAACCAAACAAGATGATCAAAAAAATTAGCCTAGGACCCTATTTCACTTCTATTTTGATGCACTAAATATATTTCATAAGGAGTATTAAAAGTTTTGATTAAGAAAATTAGATGGTTTTGGTTCAAAACTAACACTGAATATCCAGATCATTGACATGCAGTTCCAGAAACATAAAAATTTAAAAAAAAAATACACAATGCGAGCTGAAAATGGGAAAGTACGAAAGAGAAAAAGCTTACTTCCGGATAGCCCAAAAGAGAAAATAAATACCTTCTTGCAAGTGAGGGGAGAGGCTAAGAAATAAAAGCAATCAATATTGCGTTCCAACAATTCTTCCTCCATTTTTTTTCTTTGTAAATAAAAAGCTGAAAGACAGAGCATTGCTTGGGTTTACAATTTTACATGACGGAAAATTGAAGAACAAAAATCAAACGAGAAGTGAATGCGTTGTTTTAGATTTCATTATATTTGATCATTTGTTGGAAAATCTTTAAGCACAAGGATTAAACGAAGAAATTATTATATGCCATTTATACAAAATAATTCCAGCTTTGTTGGTGACTTTCAACAATGATACTTAGTTCATTTTAGTAGTATTTGTCAACTCTGCATTTGTAACCCTATTTTTTCTCACAAGCATTTCATCGAACATCTATGCTTCACCTGAGATTATATGTATATAACATTACACCTTGAATCGTTGATGGTCTCGATAGTCCCTCGGTCGGGTCTTCTCTCAATGGACCCTTATTCAAGTCAACACCTCCACATAATTCAAAGTTAGATTAGAATTTCTTATGCATTCCCGATTGAAAAGTTACGCTGGAAATGAGAAGAGAGAAGCGAAAAAGGAAATTCGAGATCGAAAAAGGAATTTGGGGTTTAGAATGAAATTTAGGATTATGTTGCAAGTTTTTAAAAGTTGGGGGACCTAAATGCAAGCGCCTGAAAAGTTAAGTGACCATATTGCAAACATACTAACGGCAGTGTAACAACGTCAAACAATCGAGGACTATATTACAAACAGACTAAATGTTGGGGACCATATTACAAATGGACTAAATGTTGGAGGACTGTATTGCAAGTTTTAAAAGTTGGAGGACCTAAATAAAAACTTTAGAAAAATTCAATGACTATTACTATACTTTACCCTTAAATATATTAAGTATCAATATCAAATCAACGAGGTAAAATATGACCAATCAATAGAAACGAAAGATAACTTAATAAATTAAGAAGCTAAAATGATAA